ATCTGCATCAACAAAACTATTATGGGATAAAATCATTATATCAAATTTTGTAATGATTAAAGCGTCGTTTATTAGTGATGTTACAGTCCAATTACGTCATAATGAATGTTGTTGAAATTATATACAAAAGTAAACTTGGGTTATTCTGTCATAAATCCACAACTGTTTCAGGAAGCACAATAACATGACATGGCTATGATAACGAAAACAATAATGACACGTGAGTCATTCATCCACCATGTTCTATTTCTCCTTTAATTTAATACTGATATTGAGTCGTGCCATTCTTGTCATTAACTCGTTACATACCGTATTAACTCCCTCTGCTATATTTAAGAAGTAAATGAATAAAAGATGTTACTGAGTTGTATCTAGGAGCGGTTTTTCTTAAACAGTTATTTTACAATATGACGCCTTATTATAGCTTTAGTTATAAAGCAGCTATGATTTTTTAGTGTATGTATTTATACAAACTCACTAGATGGTACACTGTGAGAACGTTTTTTTTTTCGTTTAAAATAATGCTTATATTGATTACTAAATACTTGAGATTCTGCAACAAGATGATATATGCTGTTTATCGATGAAGTAACTAATGTTTAAATCACGTGACCATAAAAAAATAGACTAATAATTCCATCAAAGAATATTAAAGGCCTTTCTATTGTCCACACTTTTTTTATCTAGGCAGAATACACAAGCAGGGTTGAGTTGGTATTGTGTTGTCAATTGTGCTGAATAGAGCTTCTCCATGCAAGGTCTTTTGGACCAGATGGCCGTTACCATGGTACTCCAACAACCCCAGAACTAAGCTAATAGCTCTGCCGCTTTTTTCGTGGCCTTTTATTCGTTCTGAAAGCTCCTTTTAAGCGGATTATCAGTACTTCATACAGGATGTGGACAACTCTGCATTCAAACGCTTACGATGTGTTTCGGCTTTTCCTCCTAGGCTGTGAGAAACGTCTTTATCGAGTAGGAGCTGCATGTGCTGAATAGAGAGGGTCTTTGTACTAAGTATGAATAAGGAAAACATGTACATACCTCCTGACAAAAGGCAATTTTGCTGACACATTAATCTAAATATTTGTATACATCTTCAGCTTTGAAATTATCACAGATTATTTTATGGCCGATTTTAGACCAAAGCGAACAACAAAAGAATGAACGCTGAATTTTAAATACCTAAACAGTTGATGTTTCACAGGAAATTTTATTTGCTGTTTTGAATATTATTCTAGTTCGGAAGACAGAAAACTTAAGTAGTAGTTTCTTAGGAATATAATTATACACGTATTCACAGAGAAAGAAAACTGCTTGTTTCTTTATTTCATAATTTTTTACAAACTACTCAACGGCTACCTGCACATAGACATCTCTGAATTGATACACTAGAAGGAAGGCAGCTAGTCAACAGTACTCACTACCAACTCTTGGGCTACTCTTGTTTGACGAAATAGTGGGATCTGACTGTCACTCTTATAATGCAATAATGGACCATGAACCATGACCTTCAGGCTCACAGTCCAAGCATGCCAACCGTTAGGCCACTCCAGGTTCCAAAGAGAGAAGGGTGGTTTTCTTTTTTTAAAGCAGGAATCCAGTTAGCCATTATCGCGGTAAAGCTGGAATCCAGTTAGCCATTATCGCGGTAAAGCAGGAGTCCAGTTAGCCATTATCGCGGGAATTTCATTCAATGAAACACTATTATTACAATTCACTGAATACATGTAAACTCTTGTGTCATGATGAAACTCCAATAAATTGGTTTGTTTTTATATTGCTCCATTAGTGAATGGGCAGGTTTAAAAGAGATATATTAAACAATCGACATAGTATTCTATGTAGTGTCATTATCTAATTTTATAAAATGCTCTTGTGACGATTTGTTACCCGTATAATTATGCAACAATAACAGGTATTTTCAGCATTAAAACTTCTTGACTTGCTGAAATAAACACCTCGCCAGATATTCTTAAACATTTATGTAAACAGCACATGATCAGAATCTTATGCTGTATTATTACTTTTTGTAAATACTTATTAAACCAGTTTTACTGATTATGTAAATTAAATCAAGGAAGTGAACGATACATTGCACAATTCAAATTAAAATACAAGGAAAAGCGATCTCTGGGTTATTAAAGTAGGGAAATTTGATATTGTTTAATTTGAAAGTCAGTGTATGCAACACGTGGGCTTAAGTCATCTTTATGTTACAACTACTGAATACTAGGAAGGTAACTAGTTAGTAACACACACCGCCTACAGGACTACTCCTAACAAAATGGTTGAATTCACTTTCACAGTTATAACGCTCCTCAACTGGAAGTGCGAAGTGTGTTAAGCAGCATATAGCGACTCGAACCTTGGACCGTTTGATTCGCAGGCTATTATACCACACCTGGCTACAACAAGAAAGAACTGCGCGTGATAAAGTAATGTTTCACATTGTAAAAAATGGTCTGGTTGCTCCTAGTTACTAGCAAAGTAAACACTACGCCCATGGTTTTTTCAATATCCTTTGACAAGTCAATTGGAAATATATATATTTGAGAGTGTAGTTACCACTTAATGTCTGTGATTTGTCTCATATAATAACAAAAAATCATCGTATCATAAAAGTATGTTTGAACGTCATGGAAATGGTTAGTGTACGCAAATTTCTAAAAACGAAAAGTTATAATTTTGAATTTAATCACCGCATTTAAGCTATTTGCTATTAAAATGTGTTTACACTAAATCATATCTTTTCCATTCTGGAAAATACATGTGGAGAAGTGTTGCCTTTTTGTGCTGTAGCTGTGCTCTCATTGATTCTTCGGTACTACGAACAAATCATCCATTTTTCAAAGAACTTGGTGTTTGGTTATTTACAAATTGCCGCTACAAGAAAAGTAAACAAAATAGTTCATGGAAGGTTTGACGTTTAATTTTAACCTTCAGCTATGAATTAAAAAATTACGCACGAAACAAAACCTAAAAATATTATTTAAGTCTATATTTTAATACAATTGCCATTAATTATTGTATTGTGCGTTACGAATAAACTTGGAATAAAGTTGGCTTCTTCGTTTTATTAAAAATGTTCAGGATTCAAAGTAAAGCAGGACCTTCCTCGTTTAGTAAAAATGTTTAGGATTCAGAGTAAAGCAGCACCTTTCTCGTTTAATGAAAACGTTCAGGATTCAGAGTAAAGCAGTACCTTCCTCTTTTAATGAAAACGTTCAGGATTCAGAGTAAAGCAGCACCTTCCTGGTTTAATGAAAACGTTCAGGATTCAGAGTAAAGCAGCACCTTCCTCGTTTAATAAAAATGTTTATGATTCAAAATAAAGCAGCATCTTCCTCGTTTAAAGAAAATGTTTAGGATTCAGAGTAAAGCAGTACCTTCCTCGTTTAATGAAAATGTTTAGGATTCAGAGTAAAACAGCATCTTCCTCGTTTATATTATAGTTGTTTGTGACTATTGAACTCAGAATATTTTAAGAATAAAGAGGGAAACATTAGAAAGAAACGTAAGCATATATTTTCCATCTCTTTATATGGATTAGGGGTTAGCAATACCGAAACACGAGAACAGATGGCTGTATTCACCGATGGTTTTGGAAGCTTTATTAGCACACCGACAAAGGTAAAGGTTAGAACTTTTCAGGTTTTGGCGAAGAAAACTGCACAGATTACTACAGATTCTTCCGAGAACACAAATGAGAGTTTAGCGAAGCCACCAGATGTTTTGCTCTTCACTTGAGAGTTAAGTGTCCCTTCTCCCCTCCCCTGTCTGCGCCTAGTCGCATTGAAGATGTTGTCATTCGTCCAAATACGAGCTTTTGTGTGGGGCGTACCATCGGTTTTATGTCCAGCCTACTAGGCTAGACAGTTGGTTTGCTTGGTTATTATTTAGAGTTAAGCAAGCGAAACAGCTTTATGTCTGGTTCTGAAGAAACCGTCTATGAGAAGCCCTCGGTGGACTCTGATCTAATCACCAGGCGAGACGTCTCAATCTGTAGAAGAACAACCTTTCACCTCGTTCGAGGTGCAGGTACATCTGAAGGTCATTTAAAAATCCCCCAAACTCTTATCACGAATTAAATGTGTTTCCTGTTTAGTTAACAATAATAAGCTTAGATTGTTGGTTCATAAAACTGGTAAATTATCATCTGTCTCTTCTATAAAACTCTATAAATACGTAGATAGTGTTTTATATAATAAAAATATGATATATATGTATGCTAATTTGTTTATTTATAGTTCCTTTCATTAACAAAACTGGTTATACTAGTTACTATATCAAATGTAGTTACTTTTTTTTTCGTTTTTTGTTTATTATTATTATGATCTTATTATAAAGACTGATTTACATTGTTACTTTATAATCTATATTATGGACTAACCTAAATTGCCAGAGCTGGCCGAACCTCGTTAGATATTATTAGATTAACAGCGAGGATATCCAACTGATGAAACAAGGCATTCAAATCTTTACAAGTAATTAAATGGTTATACCAATGGTTAGATCAAGTTTTAGTTTTGCTCTAAGTACAGAGAATTTTTTTAACCGGAAGTTATTATTACATATTCATCTTAAAGGTTTTTATCAGACTTCACCAAGGAAATCTAATTATTAACCAGCGAAGAAGATCAAAAACTCACAAGCTACTATAAAAGTGCATTGAATTTGTTAACAATCTTCTCAAATTAATCACAAACCTCCATCTAAATCTGCTTTTGTTTCGGGTGTAGCCTAGTGGTTAGCGTGCCGGACTGCGGATCAAAGAGTTTAAGGTTCGAGATGAGATGCCGCTCCACTCTTTCAACTGGGGGTGCGTGATCAGAGTGGCAGTCAATCCCGTCATTTGGTCCAAAGAAATGGACTTTGTTCTTGTTGAGGCAGGAGCTGCTGCTTTGCTGCCTACCGTCTGTTCTGTAATTCAAAATTAGGGACGAATATACCGTAGCTCTTGTGGTATTTGACTATGTTCTTTAGTCCACGTGCATGTAAATTGGCTGAAAATTCTAGTTCCACTTCAAACCTTGTTTTAAACATATATAATGCGTTTTTATTTTATTTTAACTGCCGTGTATTTCCGATGAAATAATTATGATATTATTTTATTCATCGGTGGGAATATTTTGGACTACTTTATTGTATTAGTGGAACTTTCCGGATAATGTGAAGACATATGTGTCATATGTCTTTCTTATACACGTTTGAAATACACACTTAGTTAGTTGCTCTTAAGCCATTAAGTATTATGATATTAATATATTTTACTTTTAACTTTTATTTTCTTTGAGCGATTACAGTGATAAATACTGTTTAAAGGAATGTAAGAATACAAACACACCATGGATAAGCTTAAGTAAGTTCAGGTACTTATCTTGTCGGACCCTAAGTAGTCAACTGTACTAATACAAATACATTCTAAACTTTAAGTGCAAACTAAACAATAAACGTAAAGGATTATCTAATCTGTTTTCTGAGAATAGGGACTAAAGTAACGATCACGAAACTAGTGTTGTCTTTTTTTTTTATAATGGCCTAACTGTCACTACTCGCTTCAAGAGTTTCAGAAGAATCCCAGGATCAAATGAAATGCTTATTTCCACCAACCATCACTGCCCCCCCCCCGAAATGTGTGAAAGTTCGACAAAAACAAAATCTATTAAATTTTGTCCCTGTAGAAATTGTTCTATCGATTTCAACTTCTACTTGAGATATTGAAGTGATGAGATTTTTTCTTTATTTTTGCCCCTAAATCCAATGTCTGATGGGCTTTGAAATTACTTTTCTTTCACGAGATTTCACAAGCTTCCCATTTATTTTCACCTTTGCCAGTCCTGTTCATCATGGAGAGAGAAAAAAGCTACAGTTATTCAGTTATTGAATGATTTGAATGGTTATACAATGTGAACACTTGTAAATTAAATATTACATTTAATAATATACTTTGTGGGAAAAATATAATTATATTTTAGGGAGAGGACGCCGAAAAATATTTTATTCTTAACAGATTTTAAATTATTCACACTTTTATACAACATATATAAGTGCTGTATAAGCATTAATTAATCATGTTTTTTCAAACATCCACAAAAAAAAACTTCAATGCAAAAAGGTTTTAACATAAGTGAAATATTTTAGTAATAAAAATTTTAAAATGAAAAACAAAGTGTACGAAAATCAAACAATTTCAGTAAGCTTTAAAGATTAATGAAATTAAAAAGTTTGTAATGGGAAATTTGAAAAAGTTAGATATTTTCATTACTGAACATAATTTAAAAAATTCAACATCAAAAAAGTTATTTGTTTGTTTGCTTGTTGTTAAGCGCAAAACTGCACAATGACTATCTTAGATGTGCGCACAATATATATATATTGAAAATTCGTTTTTTAGCGACAAAGAAGTTAAGATCAATGAAAACTTTTGATTATAAAATATTGCAAATATTACGAAAACGTTTTCCATGAATTTGGAATTAACATGTTTTCCAATAATTAACAACAAGGGATAAATTTCTTTATGGAAAATGTTTTTGAGAGGAGAATCAGTATTAAGCATTAATAAGTTTTGAAATTGAACAAAACAAATTTGATCAATCGACAGTTTAAGATTAACTTAAGGAAACCAAAAACTAAAAAAAAACAAGAAATTGTTTGTATAATTAACAGTTTTCAAGTTCAACACTAATTTCATTTTAGTGACAAAGTTTCAAAATTAATATAAAATTTGTTCAATAATCACTAGCTATTCATTTACAAAAGCTAATTCAATTAATGGAAAGTTTAATTTATGCTAAAACTATACCTTGCAGCAAAAACTGAATTAGAGCCAAAAAAACTTTGAAAACCACGGAGTTTAATGATTAATAAGGATTTCCATAAATATATGAGATCTGAAAACATTTCGACAAAAACAAACCTGAAGGTAAACAAATCATAATTTTCTACGTTGATATTTTTATTACTGTATATATAACATAATTATCTTTCTATGATTTAAGGTATTTTAGTAATTTTGAAAACAAGGATTAATTTTCCTCACTGAATATTGTTACTTATCATTTTCGTAGGAATTGTTTTAAGCATTAATAAATTTCAAAATTTAAGAAAAACTAACAATAATTTGTTTCCATAGATAACAGTTTCTTTTAAGGAAAATCTAAAATATGAAGGAAAAAACAGCTTGCATTAATCAAGATCCCCCGTGGGTCAGCGGACTTAAAACATTTAAATCCGTGGTTCGGTGAACAGAGCGCAGATAGCTTATGGTGTAGTTTTGCGCGAACACAAACAAACGTACAAACAAATAGAAGAATTAATCAACAAGTCGAAGAGCGTCAAAACCAATTCTAGGAGTGGAGATGAAGAAGACAACATTCCACAGTCAGAAATTACAAGATTTTGAAGGGTCGAGTTTCTTTAATTGACATCTGATTAAGAAGATTGGGATGTAACAAAAGTTTTAATTCCTATGATTGCACTAGCTTTCATTAAGCCAAATCTCTATGTTAGACTTTCCGCGGTTATGGCGATAAACTTTTGAAAGAGTAACTTCATTAGATTTAAAGTTGAATTCATCTCGCTGATTCATATTTAAGGACAATAAACCAAAGTTTTTAGATTTAAAAATTAAATCAAATTGGGATTCATGTAATTCACACATACTTGTTTGTATGTAGCTCGCCCTTCTGGTAATATCTGAAAATGCTACAATTTTACAGAAGTATACCCTTGTGGTTTTAGTTGTTCAAGTTGTTATGAAAGTGCTTGAAATTTTAGAAAATTGTTTCCTCCTTTCAAAGCCTGGAGACAATGTTATCGTGACTACGGTGCCAATACACGTACTACTATAATTACTCTCGATCTTCCAATAAAACTTTCTCAATTAAACGCATGACCTCCTGTCTGTATTATCTCCCCTTCACAGCGGCAGCGATGTGATATATACTTCAAAGTGCCTTTAGCTACTTGTAGGAAGGTAAAATTTTAAATTGATCTCAGATTATTCCAGAGTGTTCACTTTCATCCCATCTCCAAGCCAGGCAAGATCGTCGTCGGTAAAACTGTTGTGTTCTCGTGTAATACAATCCTTCTTTGCGTTTCATCCAGTTCTACGCTTTCCCTGCTTGCTAAAGCCCACTGGGCCTCGTTGGAAAACTTCTCTTCGTCGCACCAAGTAATTAATTGTAGGCGAGGGTTCCTCTGGGATAAGTAGCTTAGCCTTGTGGAAAATTGAATACCGATTAGCGGCAGAATCAGCTCCCGTTATTTTTTTACGCAAAATGGCTTGTGTTAATGTGATGGCTAGTGATTAGATTAGGTCGGGTCTGTGACAAGTTTTTCATGCTAAAAGACACGGATTTGTTCTGATAGACTTATTCCTTGAAAAATATAGACTGATACAAGAACAATAAGAATCAAGATAACGTAATAACTAGTGTCGTTTGCATGAACACCTTCTGTCAGAAAAAGTTCTTATAAAAAGTATTTTTGACAATTTATATCATCATTTAATTATTATGAATAAAATTAGCGACGAACTGTAAAAAAGCTTTGTTATGAATGGACACACACACACACACTGTGTTATTTCTCAACACAAAATGCATTACCCAAACATAGACTTGTGTGAACTCTAACACAATTCATTTTTGTAGTGATGTATACACACAAAAGTTTGTTTGTTTTAAAACAAAAATAACATCTTATTTTCATTTCAAAGGTTTATTTATTTAAATACATTGTTATGTTGTGTTTTATAATGGGTATGTATGTTGTATATAGTTAAAGATTGTGCATCGTCAATTTGTGTTGTTTTGTTACCACGCAGTGATTGTGTTGTGGCCATTAAAACACCAGATTTGTGTTCCACAAAATATAAGTCGCGCTGTTTTTAACACAATTAGCCTATTGGTTATCGTGTCAGGATACAGATCGGAAAGTTTAAAACTCGAGCAGCGATATGTCGTATGTAACTGAACACGCTTTGCACTTTCAACTGTGTGGCTTTGTGCTAATTAATCCCGCTTTTCCAGTAATTCTAAATTATAGACAGCTATGCTTGAGTAAGGTGTCCTTCAGGTTCAAATTATCAAATACTACGCCCCCAGTGGTATAGTGGCATGCCTGTGGAATTACAACGCTAGAAACCGTGTTTAGTCCATTGTGTAGCTTTGTGCTTAATTACAAACAAACCAAATACTAAAAATTTCTTATTCCACAAAAAATAGTCATTCTTAATAATTTTGTTATTTCGAGTAAGACTATTTTCTTTTATGTTCTTTGTTGTTATTTCTTTCCCTTGAACGAACTTAATAAGGAGAGAACGTGAATATTTCACAAATTTATATTTTTCTCAAGTCGTAGCCGTTAAAAGAATTTGTTCTCTCTAGAAAAAAACAACTAAAGACATTGGTATATCAATTAGAGTCGAACTAAAGTATTAACAGTTTTGCTAAATTAAACACATGATAAAAAGCCTCCAATGTTTCAAGTGTTACACTACATGCTCTTCAGCATTTCTCGTTAATTCAACAAATGGTTAGGGTTACCGGCCTATGAATTCGACGATTCTATTCCACGTTTCATTTCCTTAAGTCTTCCGGTGGAAAAGCGGTAAGTTTATGGACTTACAACGTTAAAATATAGGGTTCGATTCAATGCGGTGGACACATCAAATAGTCCAAAGTGGCTTTGCTCTAAAACAAAGATAAAAATCATATCCTCAAAAGCACGCTCCACACTGTAGGGTCATCTACGCGCTATAACAGTGATTCTCAAATCCCACTACAAAGGGTTGAGTGCGTTATACTAAAACAAATTTCACTATCCAAATCAGCAACTCACGTGACAATTACATCCAACATAAAGTTGTGGTAGAACAGAAAGTATCAGAACTACAGTTTAACGTTGCTTGACGTTTCGTATAAGGTAATGATGCAACTGAAATTGGTCGCTTTTGGGAATGGTAAATAAATGCCCTTTCGGACGCAAAATATTCATACACTCAGGTCATAAAGATGTTTTCTAATCGCGGATTTGAAGTTTCCAATACAGGGAATATCCCTTGTTAATAATGACATTGGAAAGCAAAACAACGTGGATCAACTTGGCAAACCATAACCATTCGGGAAGAGACTTGCAAAATGTCATACCTCGCAGTGGTTAGCAAAGTGTGACGTCTTGTAAACGGTGAGATTCCACGATCACAAAAGTCAGAGACAAATATACCGTCCACGTTTTCCTTGCAAGAGCACACAATATAATCGCGAAGGATTTCCTTCTTGAAAGGTGAAATAAGTCATATGTACAAGTTGCTTCTTGACATATCTGTCCAACTGTCACATATTCCAGGAAGTTATAGAATGAACGGAGTAGCCTATTCTTGCTATTCCATAAGAAACTATACCGGTCAGGTCGCCTATTGGTTTCTTACGATCGAACTGTTGACACGGGTGCTGAGAAACAGTTATCCTCATAAACTAGATGGATAATGATAAACATTCAGGAAGGAATGGTGTGCTATGGACAGGACAGTCTTACGACGGAACTTTTGCAATGAAAAATACGCTGCGTGGCTAATGTCAGTATGCAATGTTGTCATATAGAATATGATCTATAATGGACTATAATGACGTGGTGAGGTTTCAAAATCGTTTTTGTATAACGTATCTAACATCTCTATTCGGTCAAATAAGAGAAACCCAAAACAAAACATTTGGCAGAGAGTGCTAGTAGATCCATGCTTCCTTCAAATCTCTCAGTTCAAAATTAGGAACAGCTATGCACAGATAGCTATTAATAACTTTTGGGGCAAAAATTATTTTCTGAAATATCCCCTAATCTGTAGTAGTAGTAGTAGTTGTTGTTGTTGTTGTTTTGCATAAGATCCAACACTTTTACTTTGTCTGTTGTATCCTAGCCGGCCTCATGAGCCCTGGTACTAGTCGAAAGGCCTCGTCAGCACCGAATATGTCGGATATAGTGTCGTTGACACTGTGGGTACTTGACCCGCTCTATGAAATATAGCTTGCTGGTTCGCCAGTTCTACTGAATGATAATAAACATAATTCAAATAGATAATTAGTGCTAAAACACAATAAAAACACAAATTTTGTTATTAATCCTTAATGCAATTTTGACTCGTAACTGACATAAATAAAACTGATAACAATCCCGATTCACTTATTTAATCTAGTTCATACCATAACAATTGTTGTTCATGCAAGTGATAACATAAATAGAATCTATGTGGTATCTCAGCCGGCCTTATGACCATTGACATTGGACAAAAGGCCTGGTTCGCACTAGATATGGAAACTATAGCGTAAATGATGTATTACTAACAGATTCGTCTTTTACTCTGAATTTTTCAAAAATAGTATTTTTCCGTGACTTTCAGTTTTACAATATTATCCTCCCGTGGCTTTAAACTCTGATACTGTGCTCCCACCGTGACTATCACGAGATTTTGATATTAATTTTACTACTATACCTTACCTTTCTGGAATATTTCATAGCAACAGCTTGGCATCAACTTGTATTCAAGTGATTAGTTTAAAAGCGAACAAAGTAACACATACGATCCTCCATCCAAGAGTTAAAAAGGATACACACATACCTATATAAAACCTGCAATGAAATCAGTCAAGTTAACTTCTTTTCAACTTATAGAACACGAATATTTTACATGAAGTTACATTGTTTAAAAGATCGACATTTTTTTTAAAAAACATATCGGAAATCTTTTAACTAGACGCGAAATCAGTAAGGCTGCTCTTCTAGGATACGCTCACATTTATCGCCATATCACACTTATTGCAAACTATGTGCAAAACACTCAGTTAACATCCCACCTCCCATCAACATCTATCATCCCAGAGCTGTTCGAATCTCTTTATATTTGTGTAAAAATCAGTAGAAATTCAATAATTAGTTCAGCCAGCTATAAAGGAAAAAATCAAAAGCATATTGTGTTCTTTAGGTTAAGATGCAATGGGTTGAATAAAGGGCGGAGATCTCGGAATGCTGAAACATTCCTATGTGTATCCAAGCTGATCTTTTATCTCTAGACATGCATAGGAACTTGCGGAATTTTAATGACGATTTGCCATTATTTGCGAAGAGGAGTCGGCATAGTAGCATTTTTCTTTTTACAGTTTGGGAACTAAAAATCCATGATTTTTCAATTTTGTTTCTCAGAAGTTCCCCCCAAGATCTAGAATGATCAGCTACAATTAGTCGTTCTAAGGATTGAATGGGCCACAACGAAGAAACGGAAACTCTCTCTCTTCCTACATGGACAAATCCTTAAGCTCATCAATCGCTTCTGAGAAACATAATTTTAACACTCCTTGATACAAAGAGACTGCCGGTTTGAATGTTTGCACAAAAAATAAATTGTTATATGTTCGGACAAAGGTAATGGCTCATAAGTAATATATATATGGTCATAATCGTTATTTTTTCATTTATTTAAAATGTCTTAAAGCGTAAACAATCGTGTCTAGATTCTCTTGAAAAGACACATGGTTCAATTAAATCTTCTATCCAGTCTTTCGTCTTCTGTACCTGATCTTGTGGACATGATACTTTTTTCCCGAAATAAATATTTAAAATAAATAGTACAACAAGTGATTAGTTGCTTGATTGCTGTTTTGGATATTTACGTAAAGCTACACAAGGATATTATGCGCTAGCCGATCCTAATTTTTAACTGACAGACAAGAGGGACGGTAAACTAATCAATAATACCCACCGCCGCCAACTTTTGGACTCTAATTTAAAAAAATTGTACTTGGCCATCAATCTTATAACGTACTCGCGGTATCAAAGTACAGAACTCGATTTTGCGGCAACGGGATGCAAACCTTGGACACTCGCATTGACAGTCCGATCTTTAGCACCAGGGAATTTTAAATCAAAAATCAGGTGATTACTTTCAACGATTTATCAATCAAACGACGATTTTTAGCTTTGTGATATTACAAAAATAAGGAACAATTTAGCAAGACTTGTTCATAAAGCATAACATTAAACCAGCAAAATCCATGTTAAAATAACAAGAAAATACTAATCGATTTATGAGTATTTTAATTAGATAAATATCACAGTTAACGAACAGAACTACTGTGAATGAGCAAAATTTAACAAATAATAATGATCAAGTAATAAAATATAATGTTGGGCTTCAAATAGTTGACAAGATAGAACCGACAAATTCAAACACAGTTCACCCGTCTCCTAAACGTTTCAATGTCTTTTTTTTTGTTACTATGTTGAAAAAGAATCATTTGTGTGTCTAGTGTTATCTATTTACAAGCAAAGGTTAGTTTTTCAGGAAATGTTTCATGTTTATTGTTTAATGTAATAGTGTGTTTATAGTGTACTTAACTTTTCTTCAACTGTAAGTAAGTTGTGTATAATACACTGAAAACTGTGACATCGCTAGCCCCCGGTCGTAGCTAGGCTGCTCCTAATAAGTTGCACTATTTGTTACTGAGCCAGGATGACGGAAGATATGAACCATTAAAACCTTACCTACGGACTACTTGCGGACACAGCACGTGAGGATTGACCATGATGTAAGTGGTTGTCACTTTCAAAGATCTGTACTGTTTTCAGTATTCTAATTCGTGAAATCTAGATTGATAAAGAAACTGCTCTACGGATGAAAATAATCTCTATTGTAAGCTTAATGCGAGTCAAGTTTCCTTCGTTGATAAACAACACGCTATAACCAACATCCCAATACAGTAATAGTACACCAAACTCAAGTCAAGTATATATGTATACTCAAAACGCATACGATCTTTATAAACTTTTCATTACAGAATAGTACAAAACTAAGAAATTACCTAGATAACGAAAACATCTTGCCTCTCATACTTTGATATAATTCGTTCTGGGGAAGAGGTAAGGAGTAGTATCGATTTAATTACATTATGACTACTATACCAAAACATCACTAGAACGAAGAGATTAACTGGATCTCTGGAGGTATCAGACAACTGCGGTTCCCAGTAGTCAGGCTGTCACATCTCCAGTAACTATGACTGGCATGAGATGACCGAGCTTGTGACCTTCGGCTTGCTGGTTGACAGCAGTAAGAGTTGATTCTGTAACGTCAACCAGAGCTAGTTTTCTATCAGTGCTCGATCAAGCCACATCTCACAGAGCAAGTAGAGATCTTTTCTTTTACGATAGAGAAGAATGTATCGCTTGGAAGTCTATATAAGCGTAAGAGATAACGAAATGAAATTATTAGGTTTAGCCATCAGAGGCATCTCAAGGTGTTACTTTGGTTTGAACATAAAATGAGTGCTTAGATATCATACGAAGTAAAATAGAACCATGTTTAAATCAAAGAAACGAATCAACTATCACAATAATCAAGCAAAAATACTTTCTTCTTTGATTGGAGAGCATAACATAAAAGTTTTTTGCCTGTTTTCTTTTCAAAAATATCTATCAGCTGTAATGTTTTGGAATCAAATTTTCCGAATCCTTTTTTTTTATGTTTAACACGTTAATAAGTTTAAATTTCTGGTATTACGCAACTTTGTGTACCATTTACTAATTTAGTTCTAGTTTTTTATCTTATTTTCAACAAAAAATTGTAGCACTAGTACAATGGCAGTGTTTATGACTTAGGTAAATCCAAGTAAAATAAAAACTTGCAAACAAAAGAGTATTTATACTCATATCTACAAAATATACCAATTTTTACATGTTATTGTACTGATGATTTTGAATTTTCATACAAAGCTATACAAAGGCTGTTTCCGCATAGCTATCCATAATTTTGAACTTATTGGCTAGATAGTGGGATTTGGTCGTCTATCACCTAGCGCACCTACAGCCCCAGAACGTCGAGCGCGCTTTGCGGCAGCAGGACATGAACCATGGTTCCTCGAATTCAGAGTCCGAGCACCCTAATCATTAGGCCACGCGCATTTAATTCAACTGATATAAGTGGCTTTTATTGATTTATATTTTATATCTGCAATATGTGACATTTTTCAACAAGTTTCTATTTGATTTTGTCTCCCCCATTTGGGACAGCGTAAGTTTACAGAGTTACAAAACCGGGGTTCGATTCCCCGCGGTGGCCACAGCAGATGGCTCAATGTGGGTTTGTTCTAAAACAAACAGCAAATAAATGTATTTTGAATTTCGAGGTTTTTAAATGAGCGAAGAATTAACTTACTCACATTATACAGTCTTGGCCAAAATATCTGCATATTTTATAACAAATAAAATCATTATTATTAAGATGGAATACAAATATAGTTAACGCTATAAAACTGAGAAATGCATGTGATATTAAATATCTACATATGTAATTTGTATAATGAGACAGGTTCTGTGGACATCATGAACAATTAATTAGAATAACAAATAATTTTATCAGATCCCTATCACAACAAAACCTTACCAAAACATATATAATGACAAAATATAACATCAAAGTAGTATAAATAGCGTCTGTAACCTTATATCAGGTTCATATTAAACATTCAGTACTTGGTTGGTCCTCCTCGTACTCTAATAACCTCTGCAAGGGGACATGACATGCTGTCGATGATGTTATTGATGTAATCCACAATGATTTCATCTCAACTTGTCACTAGAAGGCGCTGCAACTCATCTGCAATAGCTGGTTTAGGGTCGTGGTGAGCAATTTTTCGGCTCAACTCTGCTCAACACTTCCCAATGGGATTACAATCTGCAGACTTTGCTGGCCATGTCAGTCTTGTAACGTCCTCCTGGTCGAGATAATCCTGTACAATACAACACTGTTAGCAGTAGCATTATCATCCTGGAACACAAAGTTATTACCAAACCTTTCTCTTAGACATGGCAGAAGTACTGTCTCCATGTGATGTTTGTAGGAGGGGCCATTGACGTTTCTCTGAAAGATATGAAGAGTAGTTTTTCAACCATGATGAATACCTGCCCAAACATGTACTGCACCACCTCATGTGTGTTCTCTGTAGGAAAGACAGTCTTCCCTCATCTGTTCTCCAGTTTTGTCCAAGTAACACGGTGACGGTGGTGAATTCTCGTTAATATTGGATACCCTGGAATGAATGTTTCATGCCATTCCTGTCGTAAGGTGTTGTAAGACTTCTTTCGATCTTGACATGTTAACCTGATCAAAACACGGTCACCTCGGTAGTTTTTCGGCGTCTACCAATAGACTTTCCTGGAACAACGTTTCCTGTAGTCCAGGATTCTGGATACAGTACACTGGGGATACCCTACTGTTCTGGCAATGTCTGTTTGCTTCATACCATTTCTGGACAGTCGAACAATTTTTACAGATGAACAATGTAGAACAGTATGCAAACATTTTGGCCAAGACTTTAGAGTACATCAAAGAACACATTTTATTGACCGGATCTTGGTTTTACAATTCTTAAATCCTATTATTATTTGTTTTTAAAAGATATTATCTATATTGATATATTCTTAAGTATACTTATTATTATTATTATCTTATCATTTTTATGTGAGACCAATTTTGTGGTTTCCGAAATTATACTTGAAGAGTGAAATATAAAACTTCCAACACCGGTATGAAATAATATCTTACAGCCTATATTAATTAATAAGTTGAACGATTTAGATTTTTTCATTGGAATAATTAGTCCCTAGAGGTACCATAAACAGAAAAAAAAGCCATAAATTAAAAAGAAAAGAAATACATTACAATATTATATAGCTATAAGTTTGGATACTTTTAAGCCTAAAGAGATAGATTCTGTTCCGAACTTACAACACTAAAATCCGGGGTTCGATTCTTCAGGGTGGACACAGTAGATCACCCAATGTGGCTTTGCTCTAAAAACAAACATATTCTGTTTGTGAGAGTCAGTTATTTTTTTTTTATTTTTTATATATCCTTGTATAACATAATATAATAGGTTATTACTGTTACAGTAAAGTCCTCGATGGTTTAACCCATGACACGATGTAAATAAATTGTGTCATGTGTTAAACCATCGAGGACAATGTATATTCTAATATATGTGGGCGTTTCAATCAGGGATTTATTAATACAACTCATTAAAAGACTTAAGAACAGTAATAGGCGTTGCAGCTTATTGAAATGCGTGAGTGAAAAAGACCAAACAAAAAATTCTAGTCTTTCTATTATCACGCCGAAAAAAAAAAGCTTTATATTATATAGACGATTATGATTGTAATTATTCAAGGCATGATACAAGTAATATCAGAAACTTTGACAGAAACTGTCTGGTATTTATGAGAAAATAAGAAAAACCAAACAATTCTTCTAAGTAGCAGGTTTTACCTTCAAAATACCGCTTGTAAACTGTTAGAGAGAAAATAATCGTTGTTTTTCAAGCATATATCTTTCTTTTGCCGTTACAGATTAAAACTTAGATTACAGATTGTTTACATTTATCTAGAACTACAGGCAAATTATAAAAGACTTCTATAACCACTCTGCCCCAGATCATTAGTTAGATACCCTCGCTGCATGTAAATTACATAAGTCTACCTTATCAGCTTCCTTACCCCCCCCCTCCTTCAAGTTTTATACATATCCTCGAAATTAGTTCAAGACGCGTCAAGCTTTTCCATTGAGTTTCATAGCTATATAACTAATTATGTATATTAGGGGATTACGGCCGATATTTTCTCTAACGACGAAGATATCCAGCTAATGAAACATTGCAGTCTGATCTTTAGAAGTAAGAACGTTATTCATTTAATTAGTTATCCTCATTACCGAGTTTGATTTCAGCTGTGATCTATGTAGATAACTTTCTTTGATATTAGATACTTCCATCAGTCGGTGTAAGATCGTTCCTTCAGGTAAGACAACTCATTGCAGCATAAAACAAATCTGCTCAGCCATAGTTTTGCATTGTTTAATATCATTGCAGGTTATCATAATTTTTATGAAATTGTTTTATTTGTTCTATTCTAAATCTTTAATTTACTTAGTTTTCTCCTTGTATTAAATCACTTTTAGGCTAAACGCTATATTTTTTAATGAATGTTAGATAACATAGTGTATCAAACCAATTATTTAAAACAGCATTTACACTTTGTTCATCGTTCTATAAGTTTGATAAGTTTGCTGTTTCATGTCATTAGGATAAGTTTGCTGTTTAATGTCATTAGGATAAGTTTGCTGTTTAATGTCATTAGGATAAGTTTGCTGTTTAA